CCCGCACCCTGACAGATACACCACATTTGTCGTCGGGAGCGGGCTCTGGGACGCAACCCCCGCATAGCAGCATGTATGTAATAGCGAGCTAAATCGGGTCAATGAATTCATCATCATCATCACCATGGGTTAGGTTTTAGGTTAGAGGTTCTGACCTAAAATGGGTTCTACCGAAGTCTAACCTCTATTTAAGGTTACTGCTTCACTCCCGTTAGTTTACCAGTTTATGCTACATATAACACTACGATAATCTTAAACTACTTAATATCTGAATATCTTCAAGGTTACTTCAGGTTCGCTACCGTTTTTTTAACGATAACCTTAGATGGTAGTGAAGTAGTATACGTATACAGTAAGAAATGGAGAAAGTGTGATCCCATTATAAGCCCCATTGGTTGACAACCTAAACTGATATACGATTACCGTTGAGCTAAGTTTTTTAACTGATTTAAGCTAAACCTTTTGGGCTTAATAGAAAAATGCTAGGAGCAGTGGCCGGCCTAGACCTCAAAAGGCAGGACGAGAGATATAAGTACTGGGAAACGCGTATTTTGTGACAGCTCCAAGTAAACGAAACTAGTTCTAGCTAGGTAGATTCCCAAGTTCACTGCCGGTGGGACCTATATCCTCAGAAGGCAAAAGCCCGCTCAACTGGAGCACTGTGTGGGAATTATGCGGAATTTCAACAAATCATTGCTATCCAGATAAAGTAGTGTAGGTTGGGTATCCTGGCTTATTTAAAGTCCATCATATTTGTTGGATGCCTCAGGCATCACATGTAGGATAGACCAACTAGATAGTCTTCCTTCCACTCTCACCTTCTCTCTCTCCCCGTCCATCCAATTGAATACTGTTTTGCCTGCATACATACTATCATTGTATTTGCATCAATATTGCGCCGAGTTTCATGAAAACAGAAGCAAAATTTCTTTCCCATGCCGTCATTCCATGGAATGCCTGTGCTTTGGAGCCAAAAAAAAGGGTGAAGTGTATGTGCGCAAGATCAGCAAGGAATTTTTTTGAGGAACCTCATTACATCCAAAAAGTATTAAACCATTCAAGTAACAGAGCCTATGCCCGCCAGCCTTGTACGAAATCGTGCAAGCGATCAATCACAACACCAAAGATAGCATTGACGCTGTCAGCGATAAGTTGCTCAAAGTGACGAATGGCCTCTTCCTCGGTCATCTCAAGATGGAAGCGCTCCTTCACTTTCAACACGGCTTTGTCAGGCTCCACTCGAATATCGGGGATGTTGGCATCCACCATCAAACTGAAGAGGTTAAGAATCAGATTGGCTGATTTGCGCAGCGTGGTATAAGCAGTGTAGCAGTACTGCTTGAATTGAAGATAGTGGGGCGAGGTTGTGCCACCCATACCTTCAACCATTTCCTTGCAAAGTTTCATCATGGGTGCAAAAGGCTTTGGATCACGGCCAAGGATGAAACCAAAGTCGGCGTGGAAGAAGTGGCCATCTGGCGCCAGAAGCAGATTTTCAAGATGTCGATCGCCAACGCCGAGGAGGTACGTGATGACACAGTATCCCGCACAAGATTTGATGTATATATCCATTGTTTCCTTGCGGACGCCGAGAGGTTCATGCTCATCTGGGTTGTTGGTTTGCAGGTAGGCGAGGATGGATTTGTACTTGGCGGATGCCGCGGAAAGAGAAATTGAAGGGATGAACTGGACAGCGCCAGCCGTCGCGCTGGTGGCAAGAATTCGATAAGGAGTCAGTTTTAGATCAAGATTCTCCTTTTGTAAAAGGCGATCCATTAAGATGATGATCTGAATAACCAATTGGTCCTGGCGAAGGTCATCACCGACTTTGAACAGCATTGGATAACGACGGCCTTCGGAAGTCTTGAATGTGATAAGCAAAGGAGAGAGTGTGGACTTGAAGACGTTTGATTCTTCGGGGTATAACCCAACGACTGAAACATCGGGATTCAAAGGTAAAGGAAGCGGTGGATCTATGTTGATCAGGTCGTTTTCAGGGTCACGGAGATACTTTTTCAGCATCTCAATCTTGCCGACTCTGTTTTCGCGCGCGAAGCGTACATCCTTGGCTATTTTAGAGAGCACGGCCACCATTTCACCTTGATGCAATAGTGTTTTTCTATGCCCAGGATGAAACTTTTCCAGTTCAATCATGAAGTAATATTCAACCCGCGCAAACAGCCGACGCTGAATTGCATCAGCGTCATCGAATTCGACCATGAGATACCAGTGTAGATAATTGCCAAGCTTGAAGTTATTAGCCGCACGGGAAATCAGAAATTGTGCAAGTGAGGACTCCTGCGGAGCAGCATCAGGTTGGTTATCCGGAGGTGCATCATATTTCAAAGCCTGCACCAATTGAAGAAGATACAGAAGCAACTCCTCGTCATCTGCCTTCCGCAGAGTTTCAACAGCATACGAACGGACAGCAGGATTATCAAAGGTAGGACCGAGAATCTCCAGCGCGTCATCGACATCAATCTCGGTCCATTTGGGGAACATTTCAACAGCCTGCCGCGATTCTCCAACATCCCGCCAGTTGACTGATTTGACGAATTTTGTCAATGCCTTCTTCTCGCGTGTGAGATGATACCTGAAACGCCACACAAGATCCTTCTCTTCAGCAGTGAGGTCTTGCGTCGGTTCGTAGGAAATAATCATATTGAGATCATCCCTGATCTTTGGATTGGGCTTCAAGTCACGATCCATGATGCCGGTCCGATGGCTTCGGATCAGACGCCGGTGCTTGTCCTCACACGGGTTTCCAATTTGGCCAACCTCTGGATCATAAATTTGAATGATATTATGGGGATCGGTGTGTGAGATTCCAGGTCCGAATTGTACCTCTGGAACTGGCTTGAGCGTCGCATTAGGGTGGGGAAGTGCGTTTTGGGGCCACGAGGATATGGGTGGTGCAGGATATTCATGATCGGCCCAGACAATGGGATGGTCAAAGCGTGGAAATTCAATGTAAAGAACATAATACTCATCTTCGATATTCTCTTCGTCGGAGCTATCGTCTTGATCTTTGACGTGCTTCGGATCTTTGTGCAGGGCTGCGTCGATTTCAAGGGCACGCATTTGGGCCGCTTCATCTGCATTTGTCTTCAATTTCTCCAACTCGCGAAAGAGCAATTGATCCATCCAGTCGACACGTGGGATCTCGCCCATTTCATGCTTTTTGATCAAAACTTCAACCCGTTCAAGTTCCGCCTCTTCGGGTGACTGGTGTGAAGGATCACGGATATTCGGTTTACGACGCTTAGGTGGCAGAACAGATGGAGTAGAGGTTGTAGCAGACCCATCTGCGTTCTTGTGCAGATAAACCTTACACTTTTGTTTGCCCATCTTCAATTTTCCGTCTTCGTCAAACAACGTGATGGTTGTTCCACCGAATGGGATGTGCGTAATCCTATCAGGAGCGAGTGGAGACAAATCAACGATGGTGATTGCTAGCTGAGTATTACGCTCGGCATCCTTGATGGACATTGGCATCTCCAGCCATTGATTCCATACTCGCGTGGTTTTGAAGGGCTTATATTTGGTCTTCACTGGCACCCCCAGTGGCTTCGACTCTGACCATATCTGAGTGGTCACATAAAGATCGGAGGTGGGGTCTTGGACGGAGGCAATATGCCGCAGTTCGGCGTTTTCATCAAGAACAGAATGTGGGATCGGTTTCTGCTTCCCCTCTAACGAGCCACTATAGATGTGTCAATGTGAATAAAACTTCGAGTATCAAAAAGTGAAGAACATACATCTTAATGCGTATAGGTATGTCCACTTGAGTGGTCACGGCAAAGGTAAAGGCTTCCATCTCTGCTCCCCGCTTGGAGAGAGCGACAGATCGCTGCGTCATGGCTGATAAGCAACTGACGCGGGGAGGTCACGTGCATGGGGTTACGCGACGCGATAAACCGTTCGCGATCATCAATTGTATCCACGCAATCATTTCTTTTTCCAAGACCAGTGTGTTTCAAGGTAGACTCTCTGTCTAAATTTAACTACGGTGTCTGGTCGTACGCGACTTCTTGTCCCCTTTTTCTTTGTTGAATTTTCTTTGTTTACAACTTGCATCTAACATCGCACTAAAAAGTGCTGATCGAGCATGGCACGTCTCATTCCCACACACCTGGACGAAACCATCACCCCAGGTCCTCGCCCAGCATCATCAATATTATCACCAGACGCATTTAACTCCGATAAAGAAAATCTTCACCAGGGTGTCACTAAGAGAACTACCGCTGTGATGCCATCAAGCACACAGAATAAACGGCGTCGACTAGCCGACCGCCCCTCAAATGCGCAGCCTGCGCAATCCGCCCAATCTTCTCGGTCTGCTCAGTCTGCCCGATCCGTGCGGTCACAAGCATCATCTCAACGAACGGGCAGCGACACACGATATTATGATCCTGATCAGGATCCCGAAGAACGGAGAAGTGTGCGTAGAGGACTTCGAGATCTGGGTAGGGAACTGAATGGTAAGTTGCTTTGTCTGGACTCGAGACTTGAATGGCAGCGCTCTAACATTTTTCACAAAGACACGCGAGGCGAGCTCATGCAGCCTGGAAATAATGGTATTCTCAACATTGTCGAACAAGCCAATCAATTTTACGCCAAAGTGAAGCAGACCGCCGACGCCACGCTCGATTCGCGCATCCTGGTGAACACTGCCGACCTCACGCACAAGAAAGCCACCCAGCTTGCTCTCGGTGACACCTCTGCCGGTATCGATGTAGACGAGTTTGTTTCCAAGTGTGTGTCGTTCATGCGTCGTGGCCCTAACAATGCGACGACTTTAACAAATGGGACGCAGGGACGCCGAGGGCGCCCTGATCGAAGCCAAAGAGATCCCGATGCTAGTGACGAAGATGATGGCGACGCGATGAACTGGGACACGCTTGGCCGATCGGCCTGCTTTCCTAGCAATGCTCGTCCCGCCGTGTCTGGATGGTTGCTGGGGCCGCTGTCACTACAGAAACGTACGCGGCAACTAACACAGCGAAGAGCAGCAGAGCAGATTGATCCCACGCAAGCCGTGGCGCCCCGAGAAATGGCCCAGCAAGATCTTGGCCTCCAGGACAGCACGAATCTGACCGAAATCTGTTCCGAGATCAACAAGCTGCTAGCTTATAACCAGGATGATCGTCAGAAAGCAGCCGAGAATGAGCTTCAACGCGAAGCTAATCTTACGCCAGAGAAGGCGCAACATATCATGGACAAGCACAACGTGGCGGACGACGGGGGAATCCCCTTGTTTCGCTTTTGTATCAACCCGAAGTCTTTCGGGCAAAGCGTGGAAAACTTGTTCTACGTGAGTTTTCTCGTTCGAGACGGCACTGTGGGTGTATCAACAGATAGTCGTGACTTGCCGACCCTGCGTGAGTACTCTTCAACTTGAGTGGTTGACAAAGCACTAATAGTTTGACAGATGCGGCCGCTCCATTCGCCCCCAGTGAAGCTCAAAAAAGGGGAGTGCAAAAACATCAGGCGGTCTTTAGCCTGGACCATGAGACGTGGCACGAAATCATCAATGTGTTCAATATTAAGGAGTCCATCATCCCCCACCGCGAAGAGAAAGAGCAAGAGACTGGCACAAGTTGGTATGCCTAAGCTTCTTCCGAAGACACGCTTCTGCGGGACGATGTGTGTTTTGCAAGATACCCCTTGATCTTTTGGCTTGCCTGAGTAGGTAATTTAATAATGTAGCTTAATACTGTGAATCTGCCAGTTATATACCGGCATTTAGCACACCATCAAGAGTATGACGCCCAAGAGACGAATTGGAAAAATTCCAAAACAATAGGCCCCATAGATACCTAGATACACGACGGATACACGGACTGAGGTTACCCAAACAGATGATAAATCCGGCCAGGCTCGATCATCAGGTGGATACGATACCTAAGCGAGTCATACGTCATTCAAAGGTTGTCTGACCATTTGCCTTCCCTGTGGAACTTTTCGATTCTCCTATTTTTTAATCTGTCAGTGCGTGGGCTTTACGATATTTTTGTACCTGCAAGACTCATCAGCTGAGATATCTCACGCCAGAGAGTGCAACTCTCAAACTCAAAGAGCGCAAAGCCAAGGCAAAACAAGAAAAGGCGCCAACATGCCACAGCTCTTTCCAACCAACCCTTCTGCGACTATGGTAATTCGCCATGTGACACCAGACATTGTGACCATGAGTCTGCCATTCGCACGGTTCGGACACATCCAGTTCGGCGGGCGAGGGACGCTAGGTGAGTGCCGACCCTTATAGAGCCCACCCACCAGACGCATACGATCTCCGGGGACAGAGATGATGTGCAGTCCTGTCAAGCCCATGGGGGGCCCTGATTCAAGATTTAAGCGCTAACGCTCCTTGCTTGTGACAGTCAAGCTTGCCACCGGCTCTCTTGCAGTATTTTCGCCCGTTAGTCTAACACCCGAAGTCCGCGAGACAGTCGAATCCCTTGGCGGAAATGTCAAATACATCACGGCACCAGATATCGAGCACCACCTCAATATCACCCCGTGGAAGAAGGCGTATCCGCAAGCAGAGATTCTGGCCCCAGAGGGTCTTTATGAGAAGCGGCAATCGAACCCAGAGTTCCAGGACACTCCGTTCGAGCATGTATTCAAGAAAGATGATCAACTGCCGCGGTCGATCTCGAAGGAGTTTGATGCTGAGTTTGACAGCGAGTATGTGTACGGCCATGGGTCGCGTGAGCTGGTGTTTCTGCATAAGCCCACGGGCACGGTCATCGAGGCAGATCTGCTCTTTAACCTGCCCGCTAAGGAGCAGTATTCCAAGACCCCCGAGGCGGGGACTAATTTCCTCACAAGGCTGATTGTGCCGCTGTTGTCCACCAAACCGCCGGCTACATGGCACAGGCGGTTTGCCTGGTACATTCTCTCGTCACAGGATCGGACAGCGTTCAATGAGTCCATGAAGAAGATTAATCAGTGGGATTTCGATCGTTTGATTCCATGCCATGGTGATACCATCGATACTGGTGCCAAGGAGATATTTCGCGATGTGATGGCATGGCACTTGGACCGGAAGAACAACTAGTCTTCTTGTCTTGTCGAAACTGTTGTAATATTTATGATACTTTGCTTGGAAGGTGTTGCAGATGGAAGGTCATTATGCATCAGCAGGTAGTTAGCCTTTTTTTGGGGACCTTGTAGGCGGCATTGCATATTTCAAATTTGACCTTTTTTTCCCTTGGCCTTCCCCAAGCGGACCTACAACATGCCCTCTTTCTTGTGGTTATTGCTATTCATAGTATCAACGGCCCACTAGGTACTCCGTAGTATTAGCTCCTATTGTACTCCATAAACTTTGCATCCCTCCTGTGTCTCTAGACTGTTCCTGCATGTACATTTTGATGTTTTGCTGTTTTGCTCTGTCTGCCTAGCTCTGCCACACCTCCACTTGTGAGGCGTCAAAAACTATCTAGTTAGTAATCTTGGAAGTGATTTTATAATCAGCATAATGCACAATTACGTACCATCCTTATAAAAGATCACATGTGTAAAAATATGCCAAATCTAGCTTGTCAAGTTCCACTCTGTGGCCCCACGTCATAGGGCTGAAGGAAGAGCAGGGTCAGATGACTCAACTTCAAAATGATGTCAATGTCAGATGTGTGCAAAGTTTCTTTACTTCAACCCGGATCCCCCCTGTCAACGGTAGCTCGGCAATCTCCAACGCATGTCTAGAAAACAATAGGCACTTGCCAGACAACAAGGATCGCCCTGAATGGAGACCTGACCCAACTCTGGGCCAAATCAGGGCTGCCGCCTATAGTCTATGAGATCTAAGATCGGCAGTCGACTCGCCAGTCAAAGAGCAAGTCGCTGAAATATACAAGGACCCAACACAGAAGAGCCCGTTTTCCACGCCAACACATCATGGCATTTTCTAGCATGGGGAAGCTAGGCCCGGGGAAGGCAGGGATGACGATATCAAGGCAACAGAATACTTCTAGGGCTATGCAGTACCTATACACCCGTATTCCCCACAGCCTATAGGCACACACACTCCTTGCTCCGATCGGGTGTTGAGAAGTATTCAGCCACAATCCACATCAGCGGTCGGTCTGCCAAAAAGTCGATCCTTCACCCACCCAAGCCTGGAAAACGGTTGGGCACGTTTGATTCACGGCACACTTGGCCAATAGCGACCTCGGCTTTTTGTAAAGAACTGTATATGGAACTGATCTGATGACACCAGGAGGCTTAGATCGACTCTATCAGTCGCATTTATGCAAGTTGTACTGCGTTCTGAGTTCTTCTTCCTTAATTTATTTTTTTTCCAGTCTATTGGGTTTTCACTTTTTTCCCTTACTCCAAAAGCAAACTGTCGCTCCCTCTCGTAGCTTGCTTGTTTGTACGACCTAACACGTTATAAAGCTTCTCGTATTCCCCGGTCCATGCTTTCCTATCCCACGCTACCTCTCCTCACACGAGTTTGGCACATCACCCCCTTGTACAATCAAATCCTTTAGATTTATTAGAACAGCTCATTGATTTGACAACACCTCAAAAATGCCCGTCATCTCACGCCTCGCTTCCATTATCCTCCGTGTTATGGAGATAGCCTTTGCGGCTGTGAGCCCCCCCCCCTCCCCAATCTGTGCTAACTGATAAACTGCATCTGACTCTGTGTTAGGTTGTCGCAGGTGTTATCGGACACCACCTTGCCAAGGTAAACCATAGCGGTGCAGACATTGACTGGTCGCCCCAGTCGCGATGGATCTATACTGAAGTAATCGCCGGCTTATCGATTTTGTTGGGCCTCATATGGCTGATCCCATTCTCTTCGGGATTTTTCTCCTGGCCAAGTTTGTGTTGGAATTCTTGGTAAATGTAGACCGATGCTTACTGGAATCCAGTGGACATACTCATCTCATTTGCTTGGTTCGCCGCCTTCGGTGTTCTCGTCGACACCATCCGTCACTTGCCCTGCGGCAGCATCTGGTCCTGGCACTTCAGAGGAGACCAGACGTGTGGCCGTTGGAAGGCAGCTGAGGCTTTCAGCTTCCTTTCTGCTATTGTCTGGCTTGTTTCTGCTATTGTGGTATGCGATGGGATTTTTCCACGCATCTTTCAAGTGCTAACGGGCCTTCAGGGAATTTGGTTCACCTTCCGCGTTCGCCAAAGTACAACTGATGGAGTGTAAGTGGCCAACGCGCACCTTCTACTAACAGGGATATGATTGATACTGATATGGTGAACAGTCGCCGCCGCCGCTGGGGCCGTTCCGCTGTCTAGATAATGGTGTCGAGTCATGAAGCATCTTTTTAGCAGACAATACCACCAACACTACGCCATGTATGATCGAATATGTACGTCGCGCCTCGCGCTCAGCACAACATCTGCGAAACTTACACTTTCATGGTGTTCAAGAATTTCTTTCTAACTGCTTTCTTCTTGTGTTTGCCTCGTGGCCTGGAGGCCAACGAATCACGACTTGCGTTGATACCCTCGGGGACATAATGTCTTTGGTGCTATGGTTGCGTTAGGGTATTTATTTTGATGTCAAATCAGTTCTTTTGGATTCTAGTATCAAACCGCACCGTTTAATTGGGCATCATTGTCTATGAATACCCAAGCTTGCACCGGAATTATCGCCACAGCTGTGAATGTTGCTGTAATTATTCCCAAGCCTCTTTTCTACCCCCCACCCTCACCTAGTTTCCAATATCTGGTCTGAGTAGCAAAGAAATGTTTTGCCCCCATGACCTGTGCCCGAGTCAGAAGTTGTGTCCGAGCCCCAAGTCCCTAACAGAGGCTAAACCTATGGGTCTTATAGAAACCCCAGCCTGAATCTTCGATGAGCTCTTACTGTGTTGTCAATTTTTGCCTTCATGTCCAGCATTCCGCGTTTTCCAGAAGAAGGAACGAAAAAACAATAATGAAAAACCACCTATGTTTCATCGATTTGGTAATTTCAATTTGATATCATCCATTATCATTTGATTGCCCTTGAAAAAATAGAAACCTTCGGTCATGTTTCGGCTTCCCGTAACAAAACTCTGCGATGTATGTAGGAATAGGAAGAAGACTCGACTCGTTCTATGTATCAATTCGGACGGTAAAACCTCTGCCTCGAGAAGTCAACTGTTTTGAAACTGTTAGGCATCATTCCCTAATTTTCCTCGGTCTCTAGGTTCTGATTTTACAAATCTTCCATCATCCCGCCATGTACCACCTCGACTTGACTTTTTTTTTCGTAGGCCTTTTCTGGAATGTTTATCTCATACCATCTCATCTCCAATTATTCCCTTCTTTACAGCTTAGGGTTGAAAAAGAAACTCTATACCGTAGTATTGGTGACGCTGACCTTGTGTCAAATGAGATGGAACCTTTAAGTTCGGACAGATGATTTCTTCCTCTATGTCTTCAGTTCAGTCGAAAATATCACCTCTGCTTGCCTTAAAAGTACCTTCACTTTTTTCTAATTTGACTTTAATGGATTGACCACGATGAACACTCAAGACTCCGCTTGCTGCGTGAATTGACAACTTCCCTTGGCGGGGCCCTAAGGTGCTTTTTCACAACCCGGAGCTATAGATCTTGAGTTAGACCAGCGGAGGTGCACCCGCTGCTGTCGTTCTGAGCGCCTCGAATACTGCGTATCAGAGTGTCCCCAGCCTGCTGAGGTTAGAGGCGTTCAAATTCTAATTGGCAAATGACAGTGACTGAACATGTTACTGACATTTTCTCTAGATACGTGGTTATCGGCTTCTCTAAGGAGAACTTGCCAATCAAAGCTCTCAACATCCTCCCAGGAAGTATTGCATTTTGGGTATAAGCAGTGGTACACCACTGCAGATGCGGGAGCTCATTAAATTCAGCGATGAGCATGGAATCAAAGCGCACATGACCACCTTCAACGACATTGGGATCATCCAAAAAGAAACAACCATCGACGTGCTAGAGAACAGGGAGAAGGCTAGTCGATTTGGTATAGTCTTCCAGTCTCCACATTCCATTGTGCGCATGAAGCTATTCCGAAAAATAAACCAATTCCACTGCCGACGACGTTGTTTACTGAACACACTCGAACGATATTTGCTTTGTGACCAGAAATGATTTATTTCTGGTTTTTTTTTCCGGACTACCATCGTTTTGTCTACCTCTCTCCCTCTCGGTTAGCTCAACCAACCTATCAATTTTCTTCCCTTTCGTTTCCAACAGGTTCTGGGACCAGTGCTTCTCAACAACTCCTTACATCTACTCAAGACGAACTATTTTGGACAGAAAAAGAGAAGGAAGAACCCCCCAGGCCGGGGTAGCAGGATCCCAAAATCAAATTAGTAGCATCGTTGATGTTCAATTTTGTTTTAACAAAGAAAAATTGGAGAACTCATCCGAGATGAAATCCACAAGGTCTACGCCAGATTGGATCCCCCCGGGGCCAGCAATCTGGATGACTAAAGGCCAAGGAATTCCAAAATCAACGACCTCAGGTCCAGTTTGAGGAAAAAAGGGAATTCCACCATTTCCTTCCACCTGAGAGCTCCAGCGCTCAGGTATTTACTTTGTATATAAAAATGCAGTCGCTACCGGAGTCTTCCGGGGCAAGCGCACGATCACCCTCGCCGGATAATACGCCGACCTCCGAGTATCCATTGCAGGAGTTCGGGTCGCGGTACAGGGATGAAGCTCGCGATAGCGATGAGCTAAGCTTGGACTTGGAAATAGGCAATGTGCCTCTTCTGCCTTCGGGAAGCCACGGCATGGAGGATCAATCAGAGAAATTCGAGCGCGACCCGCCGTTTTCCTGTACGCCCTCGGGATTCTGTGCGTGGCTCCGCGGCCCGACGCCGGCGCATGTCTATCACATTAACCCTTGGTTCCCTCGTTTACAGGCTGCGCCGGCGCGTCTCATTGATCAGAAATTTCCGCGTAGAAGTTCACAGATCGTGCTCCTCTTTGGCGGTTTAATCTTTTGGATTGTCGTATTCTTCGCGTCCTTGAAAGCTTCTGTTGCGGGCCCAGACGTTCCGGGGTATGGGCAGCCCGTCAAGCTGTCGTGTCACGACCGTTTATGGTGTGTTGCTATTTTTATCCCTACACAGTTGATTCGATCTCTTGAATCTGACAATGTCCTGTTAGGAGCAATGCCACGAATTGTGGACTGAATGGTGATCTTTGTCGCCCATTCAAGAACCAATCCTTCGCCTTCCGATGCCCCTCTGGCTGTGCAGCGGCGATCCTTCTGGAGCCATACGTTGTTGGCGATCAGGAATTCAACTACCGACCGTTGGTTGTGGGAGGTAAGCCATCCGAGGTGGATAGTCGCAACAGCGGCACTTACCGTGGCGATTCGTCAATTTGTGGGTCGGCCCTGCATGCAGGTCTAATTGATCACGCGAATGGTGGGTGTGGCATCTTGCACCGCACTGGCGAGCAAAAAGACTTCCACTCTATCGTGCAGCATGGGATTGAAAGTATCGAGTTTCTCTCGAGCTTCCCGATGTCATTCCAGCTCAGTAATGAAGCGTCATCCCCAGACTCGAAGAAGATAAAACTCATCAAATGCTCTGATGCGCGCTGGTCGCTGTTCGCCTTCACATTGATCTCGACGACCATCTTGTCTTTGTTTGTGACTTCGGCACCGGCATTCTATTCCGTGACATATTTCATTGTCTGGTTCCAGGTCGCTATGGCGTCCGATCCGCCTTTAGTTGGGAGCTACTATGACCTTGTGTCCCTCGCGCTCGGCCGATTCCTGCCCGGTGCATTTGTGGGATTCGTGCTGTATTACTTCTGCGTCAGGCACACGCTGAACAATTTGGATGCGCATTGGGACAAGACTGTCCTGTGGCTGGGCGGCTGTTGGGTTGGTGCCCTGAATACAGACACGTTCGATCGCATTCCAATCTCTCGCCTTACACCCCACGATATTCAGCAGCAACCGGGTGCTCTCACGGCCCTCATCATTGTAGTTGGATCTTTGATCGCAATCGCCTTTGGCCAAGCACATTGTTTTCGTCGCGAGGGTCGCTTCTTCCCTACGATAAGCATATACGGCGTCCTTGTTGCAGGTGTTCTCATTCTTGTCGCCGTTCCGCATATGAACCTACGCATCCACCACTATATTCTTTCTCTTCTCTTCCTACCTGGAACAACTATGCAAACGCGACCTAGTCTCCTATACTCAGGTATCCTTATTGGTCTATTTATAAACGGCATCGCCCGCTGGGGCTTCGATTCGATCCTTCAAACTCCAGGTGCTCTCCTTGATGGTGCCAAACTTGGTACCATTCCACCAAAAATTTATCCTCCTTCCTTGACAGATGCGAACAATCTGGTCTTTTCGTTCCCGGACCTCGAGCCCCATGCCGACGGCCTCAGTGTCTTGGTCAATGACGTTGAGCGCTTCCAGGTTTTCCGATCAAAGGATGGCCAGCCTTTGCCAGATTTTCCTTGGTCTCGTACTCATCCCAACGAGTTGGAGTACTTCCGTTTTGGACTCGTTCACAGTAATCCTTTGGGCGGCTTTTGGTATGAAGATTTTTCTCCACCTGCCGTTTGGGGCGCTGATGGTAACTTTGTTTTCCCTGACCCCGAGATCTCCGAGGATCCTGAATCCGAATCCGAATAGACAACTGTGGATATGGCATCTGTACATAAGCACACTCTTGTGTTGAAATTTGAGATAGGCCCTGTCTATAGATTTGTGATGCATGGCCTCTAGGCTCTAGAATATTTCGCACAAGTTATGTTTTCTAAGAGGCTCAGTCCGACTGTAAGCTCTGAAGTCCTTCCCTGCTCACATCCATGTAGCATCATTGAAGTAGACTTCAGTGTTTCCGACTGGATCACCACATTATTCCGGCGTTAATCAGGTGACATTCTGTCAGTTATTGTGGTTGGCGATACTTGGCGCACCGCTACCTTGGATCCCCGTCCATCCCCAGCCTGAGTGCCGTTTGATCTCAAGTTGCCGGATCGCTTCCGGGCAAGATGACTTTTTGATTTTTTGTTATGACTTCTTTCACATTATGGCCATGCGACTAAGCAAGCCCTTACCCCGCAGCCGGAATTCATCGAGTCTCCAGGCCAACCTACTTCGCAATGGTAACTATTCCCATCACATGCGTCATTATAGAACATGAAATACATCCATGTAGTTATTATCGCCACATGAAAATACATCTGCCTATTAAGCTGGACGCAACAACTGTGAAGAACCATCATTCCTTGGAATAGTCGTGACATGATACCTGTGTAAGACTTTGCTTTCCACCGTCCTCTATGACCAAAGCTGTGAGCTTCCCACCCTTCACACAACCCGAGTCGAGCCCCTTTGTGAATGTGCGGATAGAAAGAGAGGTAGAAGCATCGTGGCCATAGACAACAGTCATGGTGTTCGCAAGAGGATCTTCAGTTGAAGTCTCGAGGCTCGAGTACAATTTTGATTGATGTTTATCGAACATCTAGGTTGAAAGAATATCAGTATAATGACAGTATTAATAGAGTGAAATAGAGTGAAACAGAAGCAGAAACCATACCTTAGCCCAATTTGTGCCCTTCTTTTTCGGGCTGGGTACATGCGTATCTAAATCAATAGTTCGCATAGTCATCACGCTGGATAGGTCTTGTTTCTCAAGCTCGATACCCGGTACTAGTCCCGCATGCACGACGACAATCTGGCCCACGCCAGGAACATGGCCGACATTCAAGATCACTGGACAATTCTCCAGCCACTGAGCTTGCTCGTCGCTCAAAGACCGCGCGAGTGCACGCTCGCCAAGTTCTCTGGATGAGAAACCGGAATATACAACGTCGTCGGGGGATGTGAGGGTCTTCGTCTTCACCATCTTCTGTCGAAGAAGCAGAATCCGATCCTCGTGGTTCCCACGGACACTAGATGCCGAATGCTCCCGAGCCAAGTCCACGACTCCTGCACTGTCTGGTCCTTTGTTGATCAGGTCACCGACAAATATAAGGTGATCGCCGCCTTTCTGATTGAAAGAGACCTTTTCAAGAAGATGCACCACTGTTGTAGGCTCGTCAATTAAAGGGATTCCCGATGTTTTAAGGGGGAATTTCTTACACTCCTCTTTGCAGCCATGCACATCGCCCACAAAGATTAGCCGTTTCCGACTAAATTCCCCCGAACCTACTCTCGCCAGATCCCCAGGTACCAGGTCTGGGTTTAATGTACGGATCTGAACCAATCCGTCGAACTGTAGAGACGAATTTGCCCCGAACCACTTACCCATCTCTGTCTTAGATGTCGGTTTGGTAGAGTTTGGCTCTTGGGGTCGTGGAGAAAGCAACATTCGCCAACCGATCCAAGAAAAAATTAACACTGCGCCGTAGATCAACATGTGCCGAAAGCGCGGCGCGGACGCTATTTGGGACCATCCCGGGGATTTGGTGTCACTCGCGGGGGAGCTAGAGGCGGGTTGGGAACCTTCAGGGGCTCTGGTGTGCCATGCGTTTCTAGTAGAATCAATCAATGGGCGAGAATATAGTGGAAATTGATTTGAGTAGGGCAAAAGGTGAGGTGTGGTCGGGTGGAAGTCGTTGTCTGCGCTGTTAGACTCGAAGTCCTGCGGGCAGGAGTCGCGAGACGCCATGCTCCTGCGCCCGAGTAAGACTTTAAATTCTTGAATCAGAGTGTAATGGATGCTTCATATGCGCAACATTTGTCCGGTGAAATTGAGCGGGAGTAGATGATTGTGCAGATTTAGGCAGAATTTAACCCTCGCGGCTCTGACGTACATCTCAAGGCCCGCCTACCCCTGTTAGCTCCCGAGGTGGCAATGCTTGAGTTGTTTATGTTCTTCACGGTCTGGTTCTTTGTGGTTCAAACTTGATTTATGTTCTTTATGTTCTGTACATTTTGAACTATCCTCGGTATTGATCATACTCCTCTGCTTCCCGTCTGCGCAGATTTACACGCTGCAGGACAGTCTCGTCATATACCTCTTCCACTTTCTTGCCGCCCTTAAGCACCTCCTTCTCGTGTTGGAGCGCTTCCTCCTTGGTCATGCAAACCATGTCATTGATGTTCATCGGGATGGTCTTTTGTCCCTCTTTCTCAAGGCTCAGATCCATGTTCCATCCGTGAGCAGGAGTTTGCCAGGGAATGAGAGCCAGTCTGTTAGACAAGCCACTGATCGCACTCTTCCCCCGGTACACTTCCTCCACAACGAATGCAATATCATCCTTGCTGAGCGGGGCGCGAAGCCCCACGGTATCTTGGCCGGTGACTTGTCGAATCATTCGTTCATGCAAGCTTAGCAAAGTACTCAAGATCGTATCGTAGAGTTTCTCGCGACCTTTGGCGCCCATGTTGTAGTCAAGTGGGTAACCAGTAATAGTACAGATAACATGGTTGGCTACTGTGTAGCCAAACACTGCAGGCATGGTTCCCAGCACTGGGAGAATGCGGGATCGGAAGTCAGGAAGAACTCCAAGCTCACCAACTTGACCCTTCGCAAATTCTTCCTCGGGGAGAGGAAGTAGGGTAGCTTTGCCCGGGCCTGGTTTTTCGGTTGAGAAGACGGCTGTAACGCCAGACGAAACACCAAGAAGCTTCAGTCTGCGGCGTGTACTGCGGGACAAAGGATCATCGGTGCTAAGCGAGATGTCACCCACCACAACCCGAGTCGGGTCAGACTTGCACCCTGCACCCATCGACGAAATCACGGGCAAGGAGTTCGAGTGGCAGTAGTGCAGCAACTCTACCTTGGACGTAATGTTATCGATACAATCTAACACAAAATCTGGTCGACGGTCCTCTCCATCGTGTGTCAGAGACCACGGGCCGAGGAGATGCTCAGACGCGGCCTTTCCATAGAGCTCATTCCGACAATCAAAGGTGACCCACGGGGCGATTTGTTCCAATCGCCTCCGAATACATTGGACCTTCGGTGTGCCGACATCAGCCAATGTGGCGAGGGCGTGTCGGTTCAACGATGACAGCGTGACCTGATCGAAATCGATGAGCCGGATTTTGGATACTCCCGATCTGGCCAGGGAGGCAGCGGCATGCGAACCGACACCACCACAGCCAACAACAACAACAAAGGACGATCGAAGCTTAGCAAGGCCTTCATCTCCAAGAAACACACGGTTACGGGCAAGCTGTTCAAGAATCAAGTCTACCAAAGCGAGACAGGCCGAGTGAGATAGGTTCATATAAGCAAGTCATAGAAGGTCCACATACCATCATTGTAGTCTCCCTGTTGCGCTCTGCGAGCTAAAGCTGCACTGCGCTCATCTTCCTTGCTTAGCTGTATTCCGTTCGAGGCAGCGCCAAAATTGGTGAGCTATAGTCCGGTGAATCAGTCTTCTTTGGTCATGCCGCTTGCTGGGCACTGAAAGCGCCGCTTCACTGGCGCAACTCACCATTTCCGCGGTGTGTAGGTCATCTAGACTCGGGATTGAAGCCTTCAGGTCATAAACAGCTTCCTTGCGCTTGTATGACTGGTATCCAAAGATAGCACCTGCGACAGCTGCGCCGGATACAACAGCCGCTGTCGCAAGCTGTCCATGGGATGAACCAGCCTGACGGTGGAGCCAAGAAGACATGCTTGCAATCACACCCTTATCGTCCGGGTTCGTATAGTCGCTCGGTTTGCTTTTATTTCCGTGGGTGATTTTTCGATCAGATTCGTGATATCTGATATCCAGTTCGTCAGAATCAAATCCGTAGTCAAGGTCGGAATCGGTGGGCTCTTCCCACCACTTGGATGATGGTGAAGCCATTATGGGTGTAGGGTGTACTAACCATGACAAGTAGCCGACCGCCGCAGGCATGAACTTCTTATAACGGAATGCATTTGCAAGCCATTGTGTTCATCAGTGGAACCACGCTGAACATCACGTGCCATGGCCCTGGGTAGTTGTGCAGGGACTAAGCAAGGCGGTATGTTAGGCGGTGAACATGCTCGCTGCGCGTCACGGCACCACTGTGGCCACTCAGTGTCCTAACAACGCGCATACGATCCCTTGCAATTGCAATCCCCACCAATTTACCCCTAATGGACTCATATGTGTACCATCTTATCTGATAGGAAGTTGCTGTTGACATGCCGATGCTGCTATCATTCTCGATGTCCCACTGCAGAACTTGTCCAAGGAAGTCGCGTCTAGGTGTAGCTTGATCTTGAATCTGACAATACTTTTTCCAGTCAATGCCAACAACTACCCCTTAACGCTTGAGACGATGCAACCTCTATGCGTTTAATGGGGGTTCAGTTCTTCGCCATTCATTGTGAGAGGTATGTTTTTCCGCCTGGTTCTCTGGTCTCTGGCTACAACCCAGATTCAAGGGAACATCATGCGCCAAGTCCTGATGACGATAAACCTCACAAGAGCTTCTCATGACATGTCGGTTTAATTAACCGTCGGGCCATGGACTTCATCCCCCTGATACATCGGAGTGGAAGAAGACATCGGCCCACACGTGTGTGATTGAGCAATGAACAGAGATCTGAAGAGACTCGGACCTTTTTATATCTCTTGCCATGTGTTGTTTTGGCATCGCACCAATATTGGAATTTGTTCAACTAACATCACTCAGAAATGCTGTACATAATCTAGGTTCACGAAATCTTACGTCTTCTTCGGTCTTCTTCTTCCATCGCCTGGTTCCCTTCCGAGTATTGGTATTCACTGTGAGATGTTTCAGATCTTCTCATGGAACAGCCCAGTGATGATAAAATACAGTTACATACTCCGAGGCCCTGCATATGTGCTTCGTCTGTACGCCTTTCAAGGAAACGACAAGCACGCCGGTGACGAGTGACAAAACATGGTAGTTTTCAATCTGAGGGCATGTATATTACCAAACTGTGATTGAGGGTCTTGAGGCTTCTTTTCCGAATCAATTTGTAGTAGATTTTTCGGTCTCTTGACCTTTGATATGACAAATTCACCCAAATTGTTGCATTTCTTCCATCGGCCTGTGTTTGCTACGGTATAAACTCCATGGAGACAAGTACGACTTGATTATTAATCCTTACCAAAGCTGAAAAAACACTTGCACTGATCCAACATCATTAAATAAATATTTTCCCTAGGCCTCACAAAACCAACGAGGTTGTTCACGTCACAGGGTTTCGTTCGGTTCAATTACATATGTCGACACGTCGCTTTGCATCTCGTTCTTGGGGTTCAGCATTTCCCACTCAATATCAGATCCCCTTAAACTCCACGCTTATCAAACCCCAGACAACAAGAATGATTAGAAACATTACCACTAAAAGGGGTGTACTATAGTTCATCGAGCCCAAGGTAACTAACTGGATGATCGGGTTGAAAAAGATCACACGACCCAGGACTGTATTCTATAGCGGCGCAAAAACGTTACAGACATATTCCCATAGACTATGATCGAGCGGCCGCTTCGGCAGACCCTGCGCACGACCTCCTTTAACAATTCAAGCCTGAGCAAAGCCGTGACTCAAGTTCATTAGCGCCACGATGGAGTTGAAAGCCGTGTTGTTGGCAAGGTATATGAGACCTTAAATAAGTCACTCTTGCTGATCCTGTTGCTTGGTATCATAGATCTATGGCGGACATTCCAGCGTTCATTAAATGTTCCATATCCTTTATGACAACCATCAATACTGCTAATAGCGGTACTGCTGTGTAGAGGTCAATGGCTAGGGTCACATTCCTATGCTCATTAGCAGGCCCGGTGGCAGAATCGGGCATTAAATACGAGTAATGAAGCGGGTCTTGCCTGACATGATTTGTGGGAGTCGGCGACGTGGTGATTAAATTTCTGACAGATAACTTGGGACACAACTTAACAATCAAGTCCCTAAGTTTTCACAATATTAGCAAGATGTTTGATCTCGAAACCTGAGTGTAGAAATTGACCAAGTCCCAGGGCTGCAAATAGCCACGAGAGACAAGCCGGGGCATCTTATCATCCACTATCTGAGCATAGAAATCCAGCCTGTGGTGATAACAGAAAACAGAGCCACTTATGATCCGCCATATTTATGGTTCTGCCCAAAGTTGGTCAGTGCGCCCACCCAGGCATTTTGTGTTGCTAGATATTTCAGCATTATAGGGGTGTAATATAATAGGAGGGGAGCGCATTTGAATGCAAAATTGAGGGATGCAAAAATAGAGAATAATCGGTTGAATACTGCTTCCTGGCGCTGGGTGCGCAGAATACACAGGCTTTTATACTTGGATAACTACCACATGGACAGAATGACATCGAGTGTGGGGAATGGTGGGGCAGACCCACACT